TTCCTTCCTTCCTTCCTTCCTTCCTTCCATCCTTGTCTCACTTGTAGCTTAGGCTGCTCTCCACATTTGTGATCCTCTGGCCTCAGCCTCTACCGGAATGCTTAGAGAGCCCGGATTACAGGCACACAGCACCACACCCAGCTTTCCCTCTTTTTTCAAATTTAACATTTCCAAAGCTCCAGTCACTCAGCAATTTCCAGGCTGCCCTACCACCTCCAGTGCCGCCTCCCTTCATCCTTCATTTACATCACCGTGCCGTCTCGCACCCTCTCGGTGGATTTCCCCTCCTACCCCTTTTTCTGGCTGGCACCCAGCTCCCCGCTCTCCTTTTCTTTTCCCTGGAGCCTGGTTTTCTCAGCCCTCATTCTCCAGCTGACTGTGAGAGTAAGCGTGCGCATATTGCTTACGCTAGCCACCAAGTGTTTACATTATCTAAAACATCAGTGCCCGGATCCCATTCAATCCTACCACAATAGCTCTCCTCCCCACTTAACCAAGTATTAGCAGTGAAGGTCAGGCCCCTGGGGATTAGGCCCCACAGCCCAGATCTCAGTTCTGACGCTATTGTCCTGTGCCACCGCCGCTGGCACATAACCACCAGTCCCCTTCCTGAGGCTCAGCCGATCGTAGTCTTTACTTCTGAAACCTGGTACCGTTTCACACTACACAGACACCTACTGCTCCTCCACACCCCATACTGGCAGTTTGACTTGCCCCCTGGCCTGTCCTGGTTTTTTACCTTTATAGTTTTGCTCAAACTCTTCTTCCAAGAATGCAGTTCAAATCAGCAGCAACTCCTCCCCCCCCCCACCCCTTGGCACTCGGCCATACTTCCTTCAATCTTTTCAAGTTAACATCCTAACTAGTAGGGAGCCCTGCACTCTGGAAATTAATTAAAATCATGGAATGGGGACTTCCATTTTCTTTACATCGCTGAGAGTCTGCATTTCCAAGCCAGCTCTTGCTCTGCAAAAGACAGCGAGCTACTCTGGTGACACAACCCTGGCACTGGGAGAGAGTCCCTGCAAGCTGACCCAGTAGGCTTTATCACTGAGCCGCCAGCCGCTCCGAGGGTCTGTAAAAGCAAGGGGGCTTTATTTAGTTTTGTGTCTAAGATCTTGAATGCTGCAGGTTACGAAAGTAACCTGTGTGATTAGGGTGTTTCTGATGATAAGAAAAACAAAACGAGCGAGTCCAATTTTCACTCTGGTCAGAATGAGACTGAGAACGCCCCCCTTCCAATGGGAAGGAAGCAGTCTCACTTTACAGCTGTGCTATAAAACCACCGCTCTTCCCATGGGAAAGGAACGTCTTTGGTCCCCAAGAGTAATTAATGGAGAAGAAAAATCAGAAATGAACCCCCACCTTCGTTTTTGTACCTCTAGACTACTTAGCAGCTTTTGAGTATAATTCCATTTACGTGACCTTTAAAGTCAGTTACAACAGGAAAAAATCATGTCCAAGGGCAGGCTAGGCACTGAATCACCTAGGAAATAATAGT